TGGCTCCTAGCCACTTCTTCCCAGGCAATTTCCTCTTTTAATTGTTGGATGGAAATTCTGGTAGCACTGATGGCCACTGAATTTTTATCTGTCTGCTGGACACCCCTGTCCATGGGCATCTTTCTGTTCATGGAAGTAAATGTGTGAAATGCAGGCATTCCCCTTTCCCATGTCCCCACAATACTATCTTTCTGTTTTCTTAGTCTGTACTCATGAAGTCACCAAATAACCTTTCACTCAGGGAAACACCACAGTGTCAGCTTGCTCTATTCTGTGTCTCTGCAGGGAGTGGAGGGAAGAGAGTTTCTGCATGCGGAAGCTTTGTAAGCATCCTGGGACCATGAAATATTAAACTCTGAATAGGGCAACAAGACTCGAGTGGATACTACAAATGTGAGAAACATTAGGACAGTGGTTCTCAACCAACGGAGACTCTTGTCTCCTAGAGGATATGTGGCAATGTCTAGACACATTTCTAGTGTCACAAGGGGTGTGCATCTAGTGGGTGGAGGCCAGGAATGCTGGTGAACATCCTACACTGCACAGGATGTCACAGAGACTATACAACAAATGTTCCCAGGAGAGCAAGCCTGGCCCACAGCACACAGCTGCTGCAGGAAAGGAAATGCAAAAGGCGGTGTGAAAACAAGAGAGGAAAGCCAAGAACACGCTCACAAGTGTATGACATCTGGGAAGCCATGGGAGGCTGAGCATTTTAGGTGATGGAAAGAAAACGAAGAAAACAGAGTAGAGTCTGCCATTTATTTAGGTGGGTTTGGTTCAGGGTCGACAGAGGCCTCAAGAGACTTCATTCTAAGGGTTGCAATGAAAGCCAAAGCAGCTTGAGAATGCCTGGCTTGCTTTAAAAAATGACAACGCAGAATAAGCTGGAGATAACACTCCTCTGCCACCCACAGAACACATCAAACAAACAGCCTGAGCAACGAAATTATACCTACAAATATTCTGTGCCCATTTTATATGCAACATTCTCTAGTGACTCTATCTATTGGCAAAATTGTAAATATCAGTCCACAAGTTCATAGTATAGAAAAGAAAGTACCAATCAGAACAGAAACTATCAGGTCAAATACAAATTAATGAATTCAATCACCAATGTGGCCTTTTATTTTTTCCATTCACTACAAATGAAAATATTATAGCTAGAAAGTGTTTTGACTCAAATAAATCACAAAGGGAGGTAAGGATATTTCTACATTATAGCCCAGGCCAGGCATTCTGAAGTAGACGGGATATTTTAGAGTTTGCCTCAATAGCACTGGATATACACATACCTCCTGTGAAACTTGATGGAGGACAAGAAGTACTGAAGCTCAGGGAACGGTAAATTATAGTTTAAAAGTACACATCAGGGGCAAGGTACTGTCAGTAATATAAACCTAAATGATTACTTGAGGAAGGAAGAAAATAGAACTAAATATGGAGTCACATCTCAAACAAGTATATTTATAAAGTGGCAATACAGTAGTCCTCCCTCATCTGCTGCTTAGTTTTCCACGGTGTCAGTTACCCATGATTAAATGTGGTCCAAAAATATCATGTGGAAAACAATAATAATAATAAACAATTCATAAGTTTCAAGCTGTGCATTGTTCTAAGCAGTGTGATGAAATCTCATTCTATCTTACTCTGTCCTGCCTGGGATATGAACCATCCCTTTGACCAGCAGATCCATGCTGTAGATAGTACCTGCCCTGCCCATGAATTACTTGGTAGCCAGCTC